GAAAGAGTCACGCTGGAGCAGGGGAATGGTGTGAGGAGGAAGGAGTGGCAGAGAGGACCATTGTGGACTGATCACAATCCCCCATTCTTTACCTCCTGTGATGCTGGGTGAGATGGAGGAGTTGGGAATGCAGGAGTGAAGCTGAATCTGAGGGGAAAAAAGGAGAGCAGAGGAGGTATTTTTGTCTTTGTTTCTCCCCATCCAACTCTATTTTAATTGACAATAGATTAAACTAATTTTCTCCAGTTTAAGTCTGTTTTGCCTGTGATGATAATTGGTGAGGGATCTTCCTGTTCTTACCTCTACCCATGAGCTTTCTCATTTTACTTTCTCCCTGGACTGCTGAGGAGGGAGAGGATGACTGGGTGAGTGTCTGGCAGCCAGTCAAAGCCAACCCATCACACCACACTAACAACTGTGCTTTTAAATACAAAGCTGAGCAATACTTGGTTCTTAAAACTGTCTTTAAGCACCAGCTCTTAGCATTGACCTCAGCTAGCTGGGGTTGTCTCTCTGCAGCCCTGCAAAAGGGGTTTGCGGAGTCTTAGGCCTCTGCGATGTTTCCTACTTGCTGACTCCTGATTGCTCCATGCTCATTTTAAGGTGCTCCCTAGTCAGTCACTTGCCAGGATTTGGATCCAGTTTTGAAATGCTCATCTCCCCCTAGACTATTAAACACATTTATCATTACGAACCTCGGAGGTCTAGAAGGAACATCTCTTTTTCATCAGATAGTCGGTAATTTGGCAGAATTTAATGTGCTTCATGCAGGGCCAAACCATGTTGCTTCAGGAGGTCTTGCCACATGCACTGTACCCAAATTACTGAATTAATTATTTCTACCGGTTCTGCGATCTGTCTCTCTCTGCCACAGCTGGGCATGCATGGCACAATTTAATAATGAACCTTCATCCACTCTCCCTACCTTCTTCCAAAAATATATTAATGCATTTTATTGCTTAATAGTAGGGCTGTATTTTTCTGAAATTTTTCTCTGTTCCTCCAGTCTAGTGCACAGTAAGAGTTCAGACCACTCTGTATATTGAATTTGGACATTACAGCTGAAATCATTGTAAGGGCTCTGAAATGAGCTCAAATTTTGCCCACAGGTTTTTATTTTATAGCTGCTTCTCCTTTGCCTTTCTCAGGTGAGCAAGCCCCATTTTTCTTTCTCTCCCTCTTCAGTGTCCTTGATCATTCTTGTCATGCTTTTATTCTGCAGTATCTTTCTGTATAAGAGGAGGACTAATAATGCTCTAGATAAGTCTGCACTGCTCATGGCACAGTTTTAGTGTTCTTTGTGTTTTCAGTGCTCCACTGGCATACTCAAAACTACTCCAGGATATTAGGAATATCTGATTCCAGTATCTAGTAGTAGTGTCTAATTCCAGACTAATAATATCTCATTTCAGGAAATTAGTAACATCTGGAGAAGCATTGTCAATTTGAAGTTTAAAGAAATACTGTACTTAATGTTTTTTTAAAAAAAACTTTCAAGAACTGATGCAGAAATGACAGATCTGGAAATCCACCTCCAGCATTTGAAATATAGAAAGGCATTATTAACCCCTCTCCAGGTTCAGAAGCAATGGACTAGATGATCTTTAAGGTCCCTTTCAACCTAAACCATTCTCTGATTCTATGCTGTTGGTAGCAAATTATCTACATCATCCCTAGACTTCAGAAGATTTTTATTATCTCATACTTTTATTGTTTTAACAGAGTTTTATTTTGTTGGAGATTATAAACCAGGTGACGGTTGTTGAAGAACTGCTGTAGATAGACATCAATCTGATCATGAACCACCAGAAATAATGACAGGGCTATCACTGTGTTAGGTAGCAGAAATAGTCAGCATCTTAATTCAGTACTAACTTTGTGTTGGAAATACATCCTTAGAAAAAAAGTTAATGCTTTGTTACTTCTCTTATGAATCATTCTGGTTTTCCCACCATCAGGATTTTAAAATCTTGAACTAGAGTAAAGTGGGACTTTAATGGGAGTACGCGGGGAATACATGAAACTGTTCAGTGAAAGAGTGACAACTTCTCCTTCTCTCCTGCAGTGGGATAGAGTTCTATTAGGATTTTTAAAAAACTATAAAAATATTTGACTGAGATTTAAAGGAAAACAAGGTCTATACAGAGCAGTATAATCCAAGCAGCTGTTAAAAGTTATCTTTCATGAGACTTAGTGTAGCTCAAAGCAGTGGAAATGAAATGGGCAGCAAGAGCAACTATTAGTAGGAAGAGACAATTTGTGACTGTGCCTTGCTCTCTGTACGTGCATAAAAATTGATCGGCAGGAGGCATGCTGCTCTGTTTTTAAATGAAGTGGCTGTGACACCCTGGCTACTGCCTTGTAGGCTCCCATTGTAACTTCAAGTCTTGGAACCTGGGCAGTGAGACAGACTGTAAATTGTAGGCTACTTTTGCACATTTTGGTAAGTTGAACTTCGAAGAAATCAGTAATAACAGAAGGAAACCCTTGTTTTCTTCTTACCTTGAATTATGTTCAAATGAATTTTGGAGAAATAGGAGTTACTTTCATACTCACTGTTATGGCAAAATAAATGTTCTAATCACCAAAGCACTGTTGGGCGTCATCTATCTAATTCTGTTACAAAGTATGTAATTATAATTAAAAAATTATTTATGAGATATTTTCCTCGACATGAGGTATTTTTGGCATCATACCTATTTTGAAACCTATTCATTTGGCTGGTTAATTTAAGAACAATGTTTGTCTCTCAAAGGCTGAATCATTATAAAAGAAATCATATTAATTGATATTTATAGTAAGTATACATTAACATATACTTAAATATTTTGGCAGATGTTTTTGAACAGATGAAATTGATTCCTTTTGTGAGACTGTTCCAGTTAACATTTTTGTACGTAGTTATGTTTTTAGCATAAATTTTCTGCACTTTAGGAATTAATTCTTCTGAGTGAACATTCAAATCTGAGAGCAGGTTGAAAGGTCTCTCTTTATTTTTTATATCAATGTGTGATAAACGCCCATTTTTTTTCCACCAGTAGAACTTAAGTTAACCAGTATGTGCAAGGTTCAGTTTAAGGTGAGACACAGTTACACATCAACTGACCTGCACTGAAGCAAAATTAGTAATGGGAAATACTAACCAAATTTCCAGCTATTAAATGGTACCCAAGGGCTACTTCTAGACCCATTTCACTATTTCTGGATGGAAAAAAGAATTTAATCTATTTTGTATTTTTAAATCTATTAAATAATTTTAAATGCTGTATATGAATCCCCTTAGTTATATGAGAGTTGAGTGGAGAGTAAGTCAGATATCTCTTTTTGAAGAAATTGGGTGCATAACGTAGATCTAATAATGGATCGTGAGCTTTGCTTCAGGAATAATTCAGGGCAGAATGTTGGTTTCTGTAAGATCTGTATTTCATTTGCTGCTAAAGCTGAATGTTGTGTGGTCAGTAAGACACAGGATTACAGGTGAAAAAGGGACAGGAGATGGCCTGAGGTAGTTGAATGATCCCAAGATAATTTAATTCCAGTCATATTTCAAACAAAAAAGGTCCCTGAATGGAGTTTAAAAACTTGACAAAAAAAGAAATCAGAATTCAAAGCTTTCACTTTCAGTCTCTCATTTTTTAAGACACTTGTCTTGAGTCTTAAAACCTGTTTTGCAGGTGATAGATGTGATATGTATTTGGTAAGGCATTGAAGGCCAAATCTGGAAAAGAATTCAGGTCAGTTTCCTAAATCTTGTAGAAGCTGGGCTGCTAAATACCTTCAGAGAGCTTGCCTTGAAGCAATGTCATAAAAATGACAGATGGAAATAAATGGAAAAATAACCTTGTATGTGTTTAGTGCAGAGTTTAGGTAATACGGAATTAATACATGCATATATTAAGCTGAGGGATAAATTTCATTAGTTATCTGCTTGGTTAACATACATTGACAGATTAAAAAACTTAATCGTAAAATAGATAAAATTAGCACAAGAGGATCAACTTACAGTGGTGGTATTGGTTGTCTTAACACATGTATTGCCTTGCTTTTGGTAATAGGTGTGACACTGAAGGTATTCAGGAGGCCCAGAGACTGGAAAGAATATAGTTTCATGTAACCCTTTTCTGTGGTCACTATGAATTTTCTTTGTTAAACTAGCACTTTTTTTCTGTCTAGTGCAGGTAAATCAAGAAACAAGTATCATATTATGTGTGTAAATATCACTGGCTATTCTTTAAATGTTTGAATTAGCTTTTTGCTATTCATTGTTTTAATAAATCACTCCTTTTAAGTATTAAACACATTTATTTTGCAGCCTTCACAAAATGTTTTATTTTTTCCTCTGTTTCAGCTGCCATTTAGATGTTGATATGTAAAGCAAAATGGCAAAAATCAACACCCAGCACTCATACTCTGGTATGCACAGACTGTCTATCAGAACAACCGATGAAGATATTGAAAGGATTGAAAATGGCTGGAACAGGTAGAGTATTCCTTTCACCACAGTCAGATTGCTGTCTAATTTGTGGCATTATGGGAGTATTACATGTTGATATTGTTGACCCAGTGCACTTAACTGACTTAATGATGTATATTCAAAGTACAGAAGAGACAGCAACAGGAGGGTCATCATGGCTTGCAGTTTTGGAGCCAGAACCTGTTTACCTCAGGAGTAAACCCCATTTTCACACCAGCGGGAATTACACCAACTCATTAAGGAGAAAACTCTTTCTCATGTCACCACTCCTGTAGCCAGGTCTGTGCTTCCCCCAGTCTGTGGGATTTGGAGAAGAAGGGGTCTTCCCAGTGCCATGCAGTGAAAAGCCTCGGGAAGTTTTTTAAGTAGCCTCTGCAAATTGCCTAGTTCCTGTGATCGGGAACACTTGTAATGTATAAAGAATATGTTGTACTGGCTTTCCAGAGCCTCCCGCGGTGGAACTGTAACAGTTTCTTTACATTGACCTTTCAGTGTTTTGATAGTTTTAAAGTGCGTGTTTAAAATGCGTCAGTGAGCTTGCACTTACGTTTTACACAGTACCAGTCATTTGTCCAGTCTGGGCAAACCCTGCTGAGCCTGCAGTGAAGTGTCTGATGATCCGCAGCACCTGTACAGACTGGGAAAAGTGTTTTTCTTTTGGCTTGTTACGGTCAACCACCTCTGCTATGTGGACCTTGTCAGACTGTATCTTGCTGTCCAAATGTGTACCCAGACTAGAGCATACAAGATCCTGCTGGGCTGATAGGACTGCCTGTGTTACGATGGTTTTGATTGCATGCCCCTCGCATCTAGTATGGATGTGGTCCCTGTCCTGTTTGAATTAGCCCTATTTGTTTTTTCTTTCTGCTTTGCTTACATCATACCTTCTGTCATGTAGGTGTACCTACGCTAGCCAAAATGGAGCTGCTTCTATTCTGCGTGGTATGGCTTGCTTGACTGAGTTATACTACTCTCCCTATCTCTCCTTACGGAGATTTGCAAGAGCTGTGTCACTTTGGATCCATTTATAGTGATATCTCAGAAACAGGGAACACAGAGATCAAAATGAGCTTCTTCCTTTAGTTTTTTGAGTGTCCTTTTTGTTGAGGATATCAGTGACTGGCAGGATATGAAATGGAATTACTGACAGGGATGCAAGAGCGTGGTTATAAAGGTTTAAATGTAGAATTAGATCACTGCAGTCATCTGCAATTTCTGAAGCAATGACTTATGACAGAGGGACTGAAATATGAATTGCACTTTTATCATGATGATGATGGTCTTGAAGAGGCATTTATTTAAAAGAAAGTTTGCTGTTGTCAGCATTAATTACATGAGTTGATAGATGAGTAAAAAGATACAATCTCAGTGTAAGAGTTCTTATTTAAGGTTTTTGGATTGCTGAAATGATTGCTAGTAAGTGTATACAGTACCTTTGTAATATCAGTCAAAGCATTCTGACACACATTTTTAAAATTCAGATTTGTTTTAGAATATGTCTGTACAAAAAGATAGACCCAAACCAAAATTTTAGTCCTCCTTTGTCTTGTAGCAAAATATACATTGAAAAAAAACATTGAAAAAACCCCAGGTTTTTTAGAGTAACAGCATTTCTCCTTTGCCTTTATCTTGCTCCAACTCCTGTTGGCTATAGTTCAACAAAGCAATTAAGCACATTACTTAGTTCTCATTAAAGTCAGTGGGTGTTAAATTTATGCCTAATGCTAAGGATGTACTTAAGTGCTTTTCTGCTGTGGAATGAGGTATTATCAAGGAAAAGCATTCACTGAAACAGCTAACAGAGAGCTGCTGGTGATCTTTAAACTGTCATTCTCTGTTATGCTGAAGTATGTGATTTATGTGCCTGTATTCTTACCGTGTAGTGTGCTATTAACTCGGTCCATTTTGTTAAAATGAAAATCAGTAAACCACAAAATAACAAATGACTCTTCATTTTTAAAATCCAGCCTCTGTGTAGAAACAGCTCAAAGAGGACAGGCAGCACATTAGCTGATAGACACAGTTGGGCTATCCAAAAGTTGGAAGTAGGATTCAGCTGTGCCTTGCAGACATCTGATTTCAGTGTCATTATCAGAGTAGGTGTCTTAAGTTTCTGCTGTCATCAGTGGAGATGTAGTCAGTGCTAATAGTGGAGCCTTGGGAGCTGTTCAGCTTATCCTGAAGTTGAATATCTCTTCTGGCTCGTTTGGCTGTGTTGATTATGAGAGGTATTTAGTTGCCTAAAATAGGCATCTAAAGCTATTTGAGATACCATAGAGTATCTGAAGCGTTTAGCTGGGACTAATGGGTATAAGGTAAGACCTGTGTGCTCTGGAGAGGTCAGATAAAGTGTTTTGAGGTATTCCAAATGGTACTAGGCTGCTATATTGAGACAACTGAATCAACCTCTAAGATGGCAATTGACTATAATGGGAACTTATAAAACTCAGCTTATATTAGACACCCTAGTTTGGATCACTGCCGTCTGGAGCCAAATCCCACCCCTGACGTCATTACTCAAAAGGGCTTCAGCAATTCCTGTTTAACTGCTCAGAACTTTAAAACAATTACTACTAAATGAAAGTTCTGGATTATTTGCATGTGTTTTAGGTGAAAATGATCTTCTAGGGTTGGGTTTGTTTGAAGATCTTAGTGCAAATTTAGAGCCAGATTAAGTCAAGGCAAGGGACAGGTACAGAGCAGGTGCTGATGTAAATATCCTTCCCAGAGCTTACTCCACTAGATATCTCAGAAGTGTGGAATAAATTGGCCTTTAGAGAGCTGAAGAGGGATGGAGCAGAAACCTCAGTGTCAGTGAGCTTTCTCTAAGATATAGTGACATTGCTACCCTGGTGGAAATAAAACATTTTTCAGCATAACCTGAGGAGGCACAATAATCTGCTGATGTTTCTGCTTTGTAACCCGCTCTCCATTTCTTGGCACGCTGCATGTTCTCTCCTTATGTTGATTTCAGACTCTGTAAAAATGAAGTGAAAGCTATGCCACGTGCATTGAAGGTGTTACATCAAAAGCTCCTTCTGTAACTGTCCGTCTGCGTTAATATAAAGCCAGCTGACAAATAAGGCCTCTTTTATTATCTGAACAGGGTTGAGGAAAGTCAGGAAAGAGTATGTGAGTTTTATAATAGAGAGTTATAATAATGGAAGGAAGAGTTCATTTGAAATGTACTTTTAATTTACATTTGTGTGAATTAAAGTGGAATATGTTTGTGATTGCTGTGTAATACCAGACAGGTGCTTTCATGAGGGTTGTCTGACAGAGTCCTTTGTGCATTGTTTTCTGATCCTGTTGCAGATATACATAAGCTGTATTTGTAAAACTGAAATGCATGCACTTCAGTACTGTTTCCACAAAATTATTTTGAATTCCCTGAGTTGTCTATTCATGTTGCATCTGTAACTTCTTTGTAAGGTAAACCTGAATTTATTTACAAATAGTTGTATTTAGTTATAACATAAACCTAGTTGTAGAAATTCTTGATGCACATGTAGAGTAATCAGAAAACTGCTTTTTAAAAAGTCAAGCAACCAAATAAAAATGTAGACTTCAAAATTTTAGTAGTTGAGTCCATAATCCACCCAATTTGATTCCAACAGTTGAGTCTGAGAGTTGTGCCTTTAAAAAGGTGTACAGAATACAATCTTTGCAGTTACTGTGTCTAATAATTTATTGGTAAGAATCTGGCCAGTGAGTAATTTAAATGATTTGACATTTTTAATGCATTTTATGGGACTCTGGATCAGATTGGAAGGTGTTCAGACCAGGTCACAATAAGCATGCCATTTTCTTTCACCTCGATGAAAACATTTCTCCAACATACTTCTGACTCTTGACACTAAAAGCCATACCTTGGATTGAAAGTATTGGGTTGTAGAGGGTACCATAAGTGCTCTGTGTAGTACAGGTACATTAAGTACTAGCAAGAAGATAGACGGTAAAACTCTCAGTGTTACTGATGCATAAAATATGATGAGCCTATGTAGGGACAGTGGAGCACAGCTTTCCACACTGCTGAGGAGTACGGAGGTGATGATCATGCACACTAAGCACTCAGCAGATGTTGTATTTAATAAGTATGACTCTGCGCTTTTAAGTGGAGCTGGTAGGACAGTATTGCTTTTGGTACCTGATCTGACTTGTTCAGAGCTCACTCAGCTCTCTGCACTGTTCTGCATTGCCTTTCCAGGCATTTACTCAAAATAAAGCTGAACTCTTCATTCTTAGCCTTTTATTTATTGGCAGCAGATACCCCAGCACAGCAATGTCAGTAATAAAGGAGGCTAAGACTAAAAACAAATTATGAAAAAGAAGTAAGAAGGATAGTTAGCAGTGCAGTTTGGATAGCAGTTTTCAACTGCTGCTTGGCTCTTGTTCTCACTGATAAACCAACACAGTTACATCAAAGTTGAATATCACATAGTGTTCATTGTATTTCAGTATGCCTGATTTCCTGGGCCTGACCTCCGTGTAGGGTTTTCTTATACTGATAAGGAATGCGCTCTGATAATCTCTTTACTTTTTGAAATTCTGTTTGGAAGGATACCTAGAGTATGCTAGGTATCCATGCTTATTTTGGTTTTCTATATTATTATTCGCAACTTTATTTTGTAACCCTTATATTTAATTACCTGTATTGAGTTCCTGCAGCTTAGTGAGGTATGCCTTATCTGAGTCACTGATTGAACACAAACTTCTAATCTATCCAAATGTGAAACAAAAGATACTGACTTAAGCCTTCATGAAAGGCTATCTATTTCTGCAGAATACAATTTTCTTTCACATCTGATTTGTGACACAATTATTTTCTAAGGACTCCCACTATCTTCTTTTAAAAATCTATTTTCAGGACTCAAAAGTAGTAATAATTGGCAAGTAAGAACAGAAGTAGCAATATTAGACATTATTGCTGTCAAAGATCACACAAAATGTATATTTTTCTGTAAAAAGAAATAAAAGGACTTAAAAACAGCCATAGCAGTGCAGTCTCAAAGACTGACTAGTCCAGTATCCTTTCTCCAGCAGGTCTGTAGGCAGATGCTCCGGGAAGTGAGCCTTGGTAAAGTCTCAGTTCCAGTGAAGTCAAATTCAAAGTTCCAGTACTGAAAGATCAGGCTAAAATCCCATCTGTTTTCTCAAAGGCGAGTTATTTCAGTGCTATAAGTAGTCTTACAGTTATGGGAACTCATGGGCCTTGGCAGACACTGCACGTAGCTTAGCAATATGATCACTGGTTGGTTGTGTGCAACTGGGCTGCTCTGGTGTTTTCCACACCTGGCAATGGCCTGAGGTGCCTCATCTAATTGCTGTCAGAGCCACCCTGGGGCTCTGCAGCAGGTTTTGCTCTGCTGTGCAACGGGAAATTTTGGCAAGGAAGGGAGCGGCACTAGGCCTGCAGTTGTGCAGGTGGTGGCGCCAGGCTGGTAAGAGCAGCAGTGGTGTTGCTCAGGTCTAACTACTTACTGTAAAATCACCATTTTCCCTTTCAACCCAACCAAGAGCAAAAACAAAAGCAGATGCGTATTTGCTTTGAGTCATAAAAAGGAACCGCACTGGTTGAAAATCCAGACTGTTAAACCCCAACAGTGTGTAAGAGAACAACACTGAAGAAAGCAGTGGGCAGTAACTTTAAAGCCCCCTGGGAATGACCTCAATGTTGAGGGAAAGGTACTAATGCCTTACAGGAGTTGCTAGAGTAGAAAACATGCTTCCCATAATTGTTTGTCTGCACAGAAAGGAAAAAAAGCAGGCAAACTGCAAGTATCTGCAAGATACTTTCCTCTGCCAGCAACCAGCTCAGGAGATTTCTTGTAGGCTCTGTGTATCTGGTAGTCCATGGTGGATTTCTGTTCCATTGTTTGGACTCGTTTGACTGGGTCCAGAGGAAGGCCTCAAAAATGGTCAGAGGACTGGAGCACCTCTCCTATGGGGACAGGCTGAGAGAGTTGGGGTTGTCCAGCCTGGAGAAGAGAAGGCTCTGGGGGACCTTATTGCAGCCTTTAAATACTTGAAGGGAGCGTATAAGAAAGATGAGGGCAAACGTTTTAGCAAGGTCTGTTGCGATAGTACAAGGGGTAATGGATTTAAACCAAAAGAGGGTAGATTTAGACTAGATAGAAGGAAGAATTTTTTTACAATTGGGGTGGTGAAACACTGGAACAGGTTGCCAAGAGGGGGCAGAAGCCCCATCCCTGGAAACTTTCAAGATCAGGTTGGACAGGGCGCTATGAAGATGTCCCTGCTCGTTGCAGGGGGATTGGACTAGATGACCTTTAAAGGTCCCTTCCAACTCAAAACAACTTATGATCCTATGATTCATGAGTTCATTCTCCCCTAGAAGCCATGTTAACTTTGGCATCCTGTCCTGGTTTTTCTGGGATTGAATTGTAGAATTCCAGTTTAGTGTTTCAGCAGAGCCAAATTTCTGAGAAAGCTGCCGTCTTTGCTGATAAGATTTTTGGTTTTGTTCTCAATGGCAAATATTAACATTTTTCAAGGTTTTGTCTGCACCTGTGGTTATAGTTTCCTTTGGTTTTGATTTTTTTTTTTGTTTTCTTCTCTCTGCACAAGAAAGAGGGGAAGCAAAAGCCTGGGGCTCTCTGGGATAGGTGCCCCAGGACAGATGATCCAAGTCTGATCCAAGCTGACCAATAAAATGTAGTCTCTCCTGTAGACATCACACTCACTGTAAATTGGAGAGTTTGCAGGGGATGACCCCTTCAACCGTTCTTCTTTGCCTTTTATCCTTTTGGCTCCTTTGATCCCTTCCCTTCTCCTTCATGATGGTGGCCCAGTCTCAGTTCCTGAGGCTTACCCCTCCCTTGTCATGTTTTCTTTGGTGTACGGCCAGTGGCTGCTGTTTGTGAGCTGAGTATAACTTTGATCGCTTTATTAGCATTGTTCATATTCTTGTTACAATTAATTGGCATTATTATTAATTAAGTTTGGGTTGTTTTAATTATTAAATAATTTAATCTTTATCTCAACTGACAAGTTCTTTACTTTTAATCTCCTAATTCTCTCCCCCATCCCACCGGAGAGGGTGAGCGAATGAGGTGTTTTTGAGTTGCTTGCCACATCCACAGTATTCTCAGCTCCCACAACATAAACTAGATTATAGAAGTTTTTCAGTACTAAGCAGTATCTGGAGAAGAAGAAAACAGTTAACAAGTTGAGAATTCTGGAAGTGACAGGACGTGTCTTTTTTTTAGCTTGGTAGCATGGTTCTTTGTGTAGAAATAATAAAGTTTTAGTTCTCTGTTTGTCAGTTTCTCAGCTGTGAGTACACACAAAATTGAACTGCTAATTATCCTTTTGTGGGCATGCAAAATGGTGTTGCCAGTTCTTATGAAGGTACTGCAAATATCATTATAGTCAGTGTTTTCCTGGCAATATGGATTAACAGAGTCTTGTGAGGGTTCTTGTTTGCATTATAAAAATGGAAAAAAAAGTGATCCTTAGTGGATGTGACAAAGTCTTGTAAAAGTGAATACTAAGCATAGAATCATAGAATGGTTTGGGTTGGAAAAGAAGTTTAAGATTATTGGGTCCAACCATCAAACCAGCCTCAAATCTGCCACTAGACCATGTCCCCATGCATGACATCTACTCATCTTTTAAACACCTCCAGGGATGGTGACTCAACCACCTCCCTGGGCAGCCTGTTCCTTTACTGAGGAATTAAAAGCACAGAGAAAACCTTCGGAGTTTTATAAAAGAATCCAGAGTGAGCCATGGTAAAATCCCAATTCCAGTGAAGTCAATTTCAAAAATTCCAGTAGTGAAAGATCAGGCTAAAATCCCATCTGTTTTTCTCAAAAGAGAATTATTTCAGTGCTGATAAGCAGTTTTACAGTTATGGGAATGCATGGGCGTTGGCAGACAACACTGCACGTGGCTTAATAATGTGATCACTGTGTGGTTGGTTGTGTGCAACTGGGCTGCTGTGGTGTTTTCCAGACGTGGTAAGGGCCTGAGGTGCCTCGTCTCATTGTTGCCAGAGCTTCCCTGGAGCTCTGTAGCCTCTTTTGCTCTGCTGTGCAACAGGAGATGTTTCAGTGAAAAATTCAGTGGCATTAGGCCTGCAGTTGTGCAGGTGGTGGCACCAGGCTGATAAGAGCAGCAGTGAGTGGTGCTGCTCAGGCCTAACTACTGTAAAGCTACTGTTTCGTGTTGGATGGCCCAGGAAGGGCAGGGATTGGACTAGATGATCCTTTGAGGTCCCTTTCCAATCCCTAAAGTTCTGTGATTCTGTGTGATTCTGTGTGAATATAGGCTTAGTTCTGTCTTTCAAATATATGCCATATTACTGGAAAGAGGACAATTTGCCATGTTGTTTCCTGATGCGGTGGTGGAAAGAATCAGATGGGGGAAAGTCTGCTGGAGGCTGTATGGAGTTCTTAAAAAAAGTATTTGTTTTTGCAGAACCCATTCACTGTGTGAGGATGCATCTTCAGAACTGCAGGGGGTCATTTCTGTGGAGGGAAGACATCTGTCTGAATCCCAGACGAGCTCATTCACAGGCACGGGAGCAATGGCAAGGTAACGTGCTAATGAATACCATTTCCACTATTAAGTTTACATATTTAAAAAAAACACAACTGATCGCAATTTGGAGGCAAAGTAAGAAGAACAGTGACTTTCCAAAGAAAATGAATGGAGTCTAGCTGAAGAAAGTACATTAAAAGCAACAGAAGTTACTTTTGACGTTGATTCTGATCTCGTTGCTTACTCATGGCTAATAAAAACCTTAGAACACTAGAGATGCTGAATGAGCTTACATAGATTAGTCTGAATTTAAAAAAAAAAAAATGTTACATGACCATATCTGAATATATTGAATGCTGAGGAAGTGCATGAAGTGAGGCCAGGCTGTAAAGTAGATGGGTAAGTGTTTGGTCCTGGCTAATAGCTGATGCGATGTTTGTTTGCTATCAAATAAGACATAATGATTGTTCTCACATTGGTAGATGGCTCTGGCAAGGGAAGAGACAGAGACTTTTGTGTTGGGAGTGCAAGAGTTTCAGTTTTTAGCATCCAGTTATGTTTTTAATGGAGTGGGAGCCTTAGTCAGCAAAATCCAAGTCAGTGATTTGCTTAAGTCATTTACTTTACAGGGACTTCCACATAAACCTGAAGTGGACCTTAAAAAACTTACTGTGTCTCCATTATTTTCAGTTTTTCAGAAAAAATGTTTCTTTTTGAACTTTGACAGAAAACATTGTAAGGATTTGTAATGTGAATTAGTGGGTAGAGAAAAAGATACGTAATTATACAGTGATAAATAAATTACGTTGTCATGATTTTTTGCTTATCTCATTTCAGTGCTCAGCTAGAAATTTAGGATGAGGAAATAGTGCTTCCTATGCAGTAGGCAGGTTTGTATGGGATAGGCAATTAATATGTATGCAGAAAGACCCTTTAAAACCACAGGGAAAGTGGCTGATTTTTTTATCATTCCTTATTTCAAAATCCATCCTCTCTGTCCGACTATTCAGCTTTTGTTTCCACTGTGTGTACTGGCCCTTGAGCATGTGATCCTCTGAGTATCTTCTGTCTCCTAATTCTGTCAGTCCAGGGTCCCCCCATTATCAGATAATGTCAGGGGTTTGTCAGAAGTCAACTGTCATACCTCAACCACTTGGTTTGTCCACCCTTGGCAAGAATGTTTTTCTGTTGCTCCTGTGGTGCTGGTACAGTGGACTAGGAGCTGATGTGTGAGATACTTTCCTGATGAAAGGTGCAAAAAGGTTAAGTATGAAACTGTGGGAAGTGACTGGGTTCACACAGTTAATCCATCAGGTTTAATTTCATGGCAGGTGGAGAAGTGGAGAAAAATCTTCCTGGGCTACTCTGTGGAGAACGATTTAAGGAGATGTTCTGGTGTCCTTGTGTGGCTCAGTCAGTGTTGTCTGTCTGTTCTGTGCAGGCTATCACGATTTGTTGTATCCGTGAGGTCATGGGCCACAAGACATTTGCAGCACGAAGACCAAAGACCTGATTCTTTTCTCGAACGTATCCGAGGGCCAGAGTTCGTAGAGGTGTCCAGTAGACAAAGTAACATCCGCTCCTTTCTGGGTATCCGTGAGCAGCCTGGGGGAGTAAACAGGTAAGAAGGTGTGTTTATACTTTAACAGAAGACAACTGAGGTTATGGTATTTTCTTGGTGATTAGGATGTAAGTTTTATTTTAAGAAAGGGGTAAGAAGCTTAGAGTGAGAGATGAACAGAGTATCTAATGCTGCCCAGGAATCTTCACATAACCAAAATATTACAGAGTTTGACAGACTTTCTCTTTCCCACTCGAACGCATGGTGGCAAAGATCTTGAAGTAAAGGATTTTAATCATGCTGCTCCAGGCGGAATGGTTTATCAAAACTGGAATTTCATCATATGCCACCTGTGCAACTTGATGTTACTAAACTCCTTTTTACTGAGCATGAATATGAATGTTTCTATTTCAAGAATCGAGGATGTTGTTAGCTGTGGCTTTTCAGGACATTAAAGTTATGCACGTTATCTGCGGGTGTTAGGAAACACCAAACAAGCAGTTGTGCAAAATGTGTCACTGCTTTGTTACACCTACAGTTCAGCTGCCAACATTACAGAAGGCTTCTGATGCAGAAATGAGAAAATCTTCTGGCTGCTGACTTAACTTATTAGCACATACTCGGTCTTTGGTAAGGAAGACCGGTTCAGTCTTATCTTAAATTTTTTCCTATAAAATGACAGAGGTTTTAAAGACAAATCTTTATATGTTTACAGTCTCTTGACTTGATGAATTGTTATTACTTTATATGAATTATTACTTTATAAATATATGATACAGTATGTTAAATTTAACTCCAGCTAAAAGAGAAAAATTGGGTCCTAAGACAAAGGTTGACTTTCTGTTTGGCATTATGCATTGAAGCATAGACTACCATAAACATTGGTAGGTAAGTGGGTAATAAGTTGATTTGTTTCAAAATGTCTAGCTAGTGAGTCAGATTAAAGCAAGAACTTTTGAAAGTCTGTGCATGATACAGGTTACCTTGATTTCTTGTGGTCCAGCACAGCCTTATTATCTTCATTTTATCTACTCCTTAGAAATTCAGCTCAAAACCACCTTTTGTTGAATTAGCCAGACTGTCATCTGATTTTTCAGATGTCTCGATCAGTAGCAACTGCAGATTCAAAGTAGTTAGAGAGGACAACATTGATCCTAAGCCAACAAACCTCTATGTAAGGCCATTAGAAGAAGTGAATTTAGGAGTACCCATCCTTCATTTCTCAGTTTTACACTCTTGCCACATGACAGTAACTCCCAGTTGTTTTATTGTGAAGGCTTAATTCTGCAGGAATGGTAGGTGTGCTTGTTACTTATCCACAAGCCTTGGCGCTGCATCTGTGAAGAAGACTTGAAAGGATTGAAGAAAGCTTAAAATAGTAGCCAAATAAGTACAGGGCTAAAAATAGTGAGATGCATGTTGCCATGCACTGAGACACCTGAGAACAAGCTTCAGACATCAGATGCAGTCACAAACGCGTGTGCCAAGCACATGGTAGAAAGAAACCGGTGCCTTGAAATAGTTATGCAAAGGGGCTTATCACTGCAGTCAACGTTGACCTTCCTAATCTTATCAGTGCATATGCGAGGAGGTCGTAGTCAGTCTGTCATGTCGGTGGACACGTGCATGAAATACCAACAGTCTTTGCGCTCTTTAATGTGTTTTATTTAACTTGCTGCAGTCGCTGGCCCTTGGCCAGGTTTAACGTCAACTATAGCAACAACACCAACGAAGAGTAAGTACTGATAACTTCCAAACACCTTTCTACTGCTAGCTCCTCCCCTTTTCCCCTTTCCAGCCTAGTAACATTTGTAGTATAAACTCCTTATCTCTTCCTAAGCCTTTCCTAATCATGTAGTTTAGTTATAAAAAAGGTCTAGTTTTCCAAGTATGCAAAGCATCCTTCATGCTACCTGTGAACTTCTTTGTGTTTGAAGTTACCCTTACCTTTCAAGGAGTGAATTTGATTAAGCATTTAGTCTTTACCTCCTCTAGTTCAGCTGGCTGATTTTACTGCATTTCCAATTGATTTACTGATTCTTCAGTTTTTAAATCAGATTCATATATTAATTTTCAAATAGTGATTTTCCTCTTTTAACATACTAGTCCCTTTGTGCAAATAAAATGCCCCAGAAATTTCAGGTTGTCAAATAATAAGTGAATACTGAACAAGGTACCAAGAAAACACTCACATGTGCAGTCTAAATGAAAACTAACCACCTTTTTAAAATGTATGTTTCAGTTCAGCAGATACTGTTGGTGTAGATGTAGAGAGAGTGACAGGCAACATAGTAAGGCTTACACTGCAACAGAAGCTCTGAGAGAAGCTGTCCTTTGGAGTCTTATATTTTTGACAAGAGATGCAATATTACACCAAAGAGAAGTCCCTTGGAAAGGTGAAAAGCTCCTGTAATTTAAAATCACCCAGCACCAATGTTTATTGCATGTCATAGTCCACAGCCGTCTGAGGACATATCTGCTCTGTAGCATCCAGCAGCAGATCTGTTCTCATGCACTATTAAAGTTAATTTTTTTTTATTGCATTCCATATAAAAAGAAAAGATTAAAAATAATCAGGACAGTTTCTGATTAATTCAGAAATACCTTTAGGAAACTCTTGGGTTTTTTTCTCCAAATAGGTCCATCATGGGCGAGCTCAAACTGTAAATTTTAAATGATGCTGCAAAACGTTTGTGCAAATACCTGAACAAGAAGTCTTCCTGCTCCTGAAGCAACTTTTTGGTTTGGTTTGCATAACTTTTATTAAAAAGGAAGTTCAGTGTGCAGTGAACAGTGACAGAAATGGGCAGAATTTTATTTAGACTGGTATAAAAAAGGTGCTAAAAGCCTGGAGCCTAGCCTGCTAGTCAGGGCCCAAAGGACCGATTAGGATGGAAGTGCTGCTTTCTTACTCTGTTCCTGACAGTGACTCATGTACCTTGGGCTAAACTTTCATCCTTCCACTGCTTCATTATTTCTAAATGAAGACAACACCTGTCTGTCTACCTGCCTGTCAGTCTGAAACATACTTGATTTGCAAAGTGTTTGACACATGAGAAATGCAAATATTTGACTCACTCAAAGACTCTGAGAGTGTTTTTATAGGGGCTGATGAAGACAAGTTTTCTAAGTTTGAAGATGCACACTTGTTTTAATGGGCTGTATACACAGAATGGGTGCCACTGTGTTGCTGTGAAAGAGGACAGGCACAAACAACTGCTTTATTAGTTACTGATTTCCAGTTTGCTCAGTAGCACTAATAAAGAAAAAAAGATGCAGGTCTTTTTGAAGCATTGGGTTTTTCATTATGTTAAAGACTTAAGCATGCCTGCCCTTGGGGAACTGTAGGTGATGCTTTCAAGTCTTTGATTGTGGCCAACCTTTTCCTCTGACTGACTTCCACTGCCAGCCTAAAGTAGGTGGTGGGAGTGTGATAAGCTGGGAGTTACCACTATAGAGAGATGAAAAGAGGCCACAGAAATGGCCTTTCACTTACGAAAGATACCTGCACTTGACAGATGAGTTTGTGGGACATCTCTGGCCAGAGAAAAGTAACTATGCTGTGTGAAGGAATGTTTTTTCTCTTTAAAAAAAAACAAACGTAAGAAGTTGGGATTGTCAAAATATTCGCTCCAAACTTTGCTACCGCTGAGGCTTTTTGGTTGATTCTGTCTCAACCTGTTTTCCCTGCATAACAACATCCACAGATGTACAGTGGCCCTACCCTTTGAAAATTTATGTTACATGTAGCTCTTCCTTTCTGGTGAGAATGCCAGACATTTGAAGTATTGAGGAGCTATGTTAATGCTAACAAGAGCAACTGTGAATTCACCTTCAGATCAGGCACTATGCGTAGTAATGTGCAGTGAAAACTTGGCATGTTTTTTAAATAGGAAGGAGTTTTCAGGGCAGATTTGAAAGAGAAGCCATAAAAGTGCAGGGGGATCAGTAGCAGAGAAATAAATACTTGAGCAGCAGTTCCCACTGCTGTATAGAAATCAGTCTTGGTAAATGAAAACCTGTTTCTTTGAGTTGAGGTGCATGTATAAATAGAAATCAGTAAACCTAAAGGTTTTTTCTACTCCAGTTATACTCCCTTGCAGTGTATGTTTTTAAAGGTTTCAGTGGTGTTGGTCAGCTTGGTAGGTATTTCCCTGGACATGGAGGAGTGTAGGATCTCAGCATTTTTTAACGAATGAGTCTGGGCATTTCCAAATTACACTGTGGTACTGTATCACTATGGAAATGCCCAAGGGTAAGAACTGGAACAGGTGCTCATTGCTGATAGGTGAAAGCTACCCACCATCTTAAAATTGGTGACTGTTGTCTTCTCCCTGGGAGTGCTTCTTTCTCCCTGTAACAAGCACACTCATAGATAGGACTGCCATTCACAGCACAGACTTTTTCTGCTCTGAGTAATACCAGCAAGTGTATGTGAGGAGCACGAGTGAGCTCACTAAATTTTTTACCTGTTGGTTCAAAATGTGTAAGTAGCACTTTTTCAACTGTTATTACGTATTCTGTCTTTACTGTGGGGTGTTGCTGTCATTGAACTAATTTGTCCTTTATTGGCACCAGTGCAAGGGGAGAATCAGACCCAACCTTGGCAGTTCAAAGGAGGACACGTAGCTCCCTTGGGAGCAAGAGTCCATGGCTTTCATCCAAACCAGACCGTATGTTTATACATGCATTATCCACATACACTGCAGTGTCAGGAACGTTTAGTCTTTTCTGTCTAACCAATGGGAACACTTTCTGCTTTAAGGAATGAAGAAATTTCGAGTACAAAATGAGGAGATCTGAGATGATGGATCTTCTGCTTGTGCAAATGAGTGCAGTTCTTCAGGTTACATGATTCTTGACCAATGCACGTAGCAAATTTAACTCTAAGATGAAGGTTGACAGGATCTTCGGAAAGATGTTAACTGCAGTGTTGAAGAGGGTGCTTGGGCCTGTCTGCGTAAGTTAACATAGCTCAAGACTCTTCTGTTCAAACCTAAGAATGGGATAAGTCAGATCCATCTTTCTGTCTCACCACATTCTAAGGAGCTAAAGGCCGTATGTACTTGAACAGAATGAAAATCCATGTCTGCAGTTCGATCTTGCAACTCGGGTCTGTGGTAGGATATCTTGTAGGTTATAATTATGTTAAATGGTCAGTATTTTACTTTATTGCATGAAAACTAATTAAGAAACATGGGGACAATTGTAATTCCTTTTTAATCTAGGCAAAATTCCCATTGATTTTAGCGAGGATGGAATTTTGTGCTTAATGTGCAGCCTTTGAATACAGTGGCAGTCAAATACAGGGAGAGCAACTTGGGCATGGTGCCTCTGATCACACATAGACACCTGCATCTGAACTGGGCAATCCATTCTTCCTTTATAGTTGATAGAAAGAAAAAAATGCTGTTGAAGCACGAGTCATCTCATAGATCTGGACTATGAGATATGGACTGTCTTGTAGATACAGCACATCTCTACTGCAGAGGTCTAAAATAGGTTGGCTTAGTCGTGTTGACTATAAAGCCTTTATAAATAATGAGTGCTATGTAGTTACATGAGACACACCTCTTTTATCTACATTTGGTGCTTTTGTTCAAATGCTGACTATGATTCTTCTCCAAGGCAATGGTTGAAGCCAGCAGTAATTAATTAACTACAGCTATGTTGGTTTGAGGAAATGCTTTGTTGGCCATGAGGAAATTCAGCCTCATTTCATTTCATTACCATTAAAGCTTCAGACAATCACTGTGAGGTTTTGGATAAGCCATTTGTAAGCCATTTCAAGTTCTGTTATCATCTGATAGATTTCTTTTTAAGTGCCTGAGTTCTGACGAATGAACCAAACTGGAAGCTTTTAATTAAAATCAGCCTGGTACACTGCTGTCTGAAAAGGTCAAGAAAGAGTGAGTGACTAATGCACAGAATCAGCCAGCTGCTTACCTGCTGTGATAGTGGTGTGCTGGTGTCAGTTCGAGAAGCCTCAACCTGTAACACATTTATGCCAGTTGGATCCCTGTCGTGCTCTGTCCGGAGTCCAGTCTAGTTCCCTGTGCATCAACATCCACCCTCTACCTTAACTGCTAGAATATCGGTAATATTGCTAAGCTTTATGTTATGTTGTACAGCAAAAAGGAAGAAAAGAAAGAGGTTAAAGAGGAGAAAAAGGAGGAAAAGAAAGAGGAAAAGAAGGAGGAAAAGAAAGAGGAAAAGAAAGATGACAAAAAAGATGATAAAAAAAAGGAAGAGTAAGTATAAAGAATGAGTGCGTGCTTGTAACACACCTCCTACACTACAAAACGTGGTATGGCATTTCATCGTAACACTTCCATGACAATTCCTGATCTGTAGGCTGTGGAGTGTTAGCCTGTCAAATCTTTAATACTTCTTTCCCCTTTGGAAGAGTGCAACTGCTCAACAGACTTGTTGAATCTTTAAGACCTGTGTTTAGACCTGTCATGAACAACTTCCTAGGTCAGTAAAGGGTATTCAGCTATCTCTGGTCACTTTGATTGCTGTGGAGATCACTTTTTTACTGCAAGGCTACTACATATGTGTTTTACTTGTTTAAATGTGTGCTCATGTAGTCATTTCCCTAATAGAATTTGCCAAAACCATCAGAATTAATCTGCAAAAGAAGGCTCTTTCTCTAGCATTAAACCATTGCTTCTAGCTGGAATGATAATAAGAAACATAACTTCATATGCAGAAAGGCTGTGGTTTTCAGCCTGGGTAAAGTGAATATCTGTTTTTCTTTCCGCTCTTGCTTTTTTCCAAAGTTGGGTCAAGCAAATAAATACAGCATGGCAGTTGGGGTGAAACTAATATTTGGTATCTCATCTGGAGCTGCCTGCATGGAAGGTTTCTCTTCTTAGGCAGCTGTGAGCTCATCAGGAGGTAAGCAGCTTCCAGAAAAGGGAGATCCAGCCTGTCACTTCATTACATTTCCAGTGTAAAACTGCACATTTTACTTTCCAGGAAGAAAAAAGAGATCTTTGTGATAGATCCTTCAAGCAATATGTACTACAACTGGCTCACCATAATTGCAGCACCTGTGTTCTATAACTGGTGTATGCTAGTGTGCAGGTATGGATTTAAGTTAATAATTATTTTAAAGTTCAAGTATAGTGTCTCATTATGTTTCCTATGTGAATCGTGCTCTTATCTTCCTGTGGTATTTTCTGGGTGGCTTACGTAGAAGATTTGCAATTAATACACCACCAGGGATATACGATATACATACCACTGGGAACAGATGGCCAGTATTTATTTTTGTCTTAAACCAGTTTATTATGACTTGCAGTGAGCATCCTCTGCAGTGCTGGCTGTGGCCTTTGTGTGCCACCTGCTGGCTGGTTGCAGAGATGTCCCTTGGCCACTGTAGGCTCAGTAACCACTGCTGAAGATGGGTCTTCTGGTCACCAGCAGAGAACAGAAGGGAGGGGTGTAGGCAGTGCTGGGTCATCTTAAATTAATACTATGCATCCATAGATGCTTGAAGGGCAGGAGGCTTTTACTCGAGTTATTTACTTTCCGTTGTAAAATGTGGAAAACTCTTTGAGTCAAAGTAGTGGAGTGCTGTGGGAATGGTTCACCTGGGCTGTGTCACACGTCAGGGAGGGGTGAGGATGGCTTGCCACTCAGAAACTAATCTTTTATTTGGGAATTATCTTAATGCAGATGTGTATCCCTTGAAATCTGATGCATGTTTATTTGTAGGGTTGTGTATGTGTATTCCTCCATAAGTGCTCTTGTGTGGCATACATGTGTTTTGAGTTTTGCTTCTGGCGTAAACACCTTTTGAATTCTGAAAGATCCTAGTATCTGTTTAGACACAGATCTAGTGTGCAGATGTCTAGGCATGGAGTTACGCTGCCCTTAAGTTTTCAGTGCCAGTAATGTGCACTGACTTGCTGCTAGGACACACATTGAAAGTTCTCTGCTTATGCAGTTGGTGTAATTTAGTTTTCTTTTTGTATCTTTGTTTTTTTAGAGCCTGCTTTGATGAGCTACAAGTTGACCATATTCAATTATGGCTGTTCATGGATTATGGCTCTGATGTCATCTATGTTCTTGACATGTTTGTTAGATTCAGGACAGGTGAGTCTTTTTGGGGATTTACAGTGTCTTCAGATACAGCATGGATATAAAGGCTGGAAGCAGAAGTTCCCTTGTGGGTTCTGACCAGTTTAGTGTCCTGTCTCCAGCAGAATCCAGCAGCAGAGGATTTGGGAAGATAAAGTGTCTGACCTGCTTGGGTTGTTTTAAAGCTGAACATCACTTTTAAAGCCTGCACTTCACTTGTCTTTTGAATTCAGTTCTCTCAGTGCCAAACGCTGACTGAATAGCCACTGTGATGGACTGCATGGGGAAGGGAGAATAAGGCACATTCCTTGTCATTATTGCTCTGTGCATGATAATATTTCACTGCCTGGTGGTGGTACAGTGTTAACCCAGGAGGGTGGTGGTATGGGATCTCTGCTCAGGTCTTGCCTTCTGGAAGGAAGAGTGAACCTAAAGGAGCTGTGAGGACCGTGAAGTGGTTCTCTTCAGCTTCTTGTCCTGTCTCTTCAGCTTCTGTTTCTGTAGTCCAGGCAGGCTGAGAAGATTTCATATTTGAGCGTGCCCAGCTGACAGCTTCCAGCCTTAAAGTCAGCATCTTTTTTAAACTAAACGAGGTCGTAATATAGGCCTAACCAGTGACACACAGTGATCCATACCATTAAACTGCTAGAATAGTCCTTGGTGTAATTTGGTGCATGCACTTTGGTGTATGGCAGCTAGCACTCTCTCAGGCAGTGTCTGGGCACAGCTGGGAGAACAGCAGAGGTTGGGTGGTGCTCATGGTGTCATTTTTGGAGGGTGCTGGGAGAACTTACACATGAATAGAAGCTGTCATTGTAGCTGGTCTCAGGGCCAGAAAATGTTGCCCGGCTTCTATTTACTGGTATGGATGCAGTCCCAGAATGTCCCTTGAAAGGGTCCAAAACCTTACTGATCATTATAAAAATGAGAATTCTTTAAAGTCTTTGATTTTTGAGTTTTCTTTCTTTTTTTTATCATACTGACAGCTTGACATTAATTATGGCTTGTGACAAGTTGTAAACATAATTACAAGACAGAGGCTAAAAATGCTGTCATTTGGGTATCGCTCATAGCAAGCCAAATTCTTAAACTTAGCAAGTACCTTGCTCAACAGGAAAGTCTATTTCAGATAGCAGCCTAAATCCCAAGACTGCTGTATTTGGGCTGGGGGTGGAGGGGAAGTTCATCTTTGTGTAGTTAAAATGTCAGCTGTGCCCAGTAAATGTCTCTTCTACAGTTATATCTGTTATTGTAATGGGAAAGAACTGAGCAGAAATTGGGCACATCCAGGCAATGCAAGTTATAAAATTTCCAGGGCTGTCCTGATAACAATTTTACAGCTCTTAAATGTGGTTAAAAGGTCGGCTTTGCAGGCCTGGATTGGAACTGCAAACCTGCCACTGAGATCTCCCACATGCTTCAGTGCAGGTGTCTGCTGCAGTTTTGGGCACTCAGATAAGGAAGTTGCTTCTTTTGGGTGCTGAAATTTTGGTCAGCTCTCGTAACAACCCCTCCCGGCCTTTTCCTGTAAGTCTGCAAGGTCCATGTACCCTGGAGACAGAGGTCCTGGAAGCTTTTGGGGGAGAATGTAGCTCCTTGCTGTCGAAGAGTGAGGACTGGCTTTGAACTGGGATCTAGGTAGCCCTGCAGCTACCGTGATCCAGAGCAGCTTCTCTGTGGTGTGTCCTGTCCAGCTGCAGGGCCAGTTTCACTCTCTTTCACCTATTTGATGCCGGTGCTCTGTGAAGCAGAAAAGACTGATGTCTCTCAGCAGCTGATCATGTTTAACATACCTCACGTTTTGATGCTTTCAAAAGGTTTTACTATAGGACTTCAGTTCTGTGGAGGTATAAAAAAGCACTGAGGGGCTTTTATCTCCCTTCAGTAGGAAGGTGTTTTCAAAGTAATTTTTAATAATTGTGAGTCAGAAATTCTTCTGCCTGGACAACTTTTCTGTGTAGTTGCATAACTCTGTTAATAAGAGCATATTTGACCAGCTCTTTTGGCAGTTTTCTGGGAGGTAACACATTCATGGCACAGGAATTACTTCCATTTGTAGTCGCTATCAGTTTGCAGATCTCCAAAGACAGATAGGATGAGGGGTAATGGCTTTAAACTGGAAGAGGGTAGATTTAGACTAGATATTAGCAAGAAATTCTTTACTGTGAGTGTTGAGACACTGGCACAGGTTGCCCAAGGAAGCTGTGGATGCTTCCTCCCTGGAAGTGTTCAAGGCCAGGTTGGACAGAGCTTTGAGCCACCTGGTCTGATGGGAGGTGTCCCTGCTCATGGCAGGGGGGTTGGACCAGATGATCTTTAAGGTCCCTTCCAACCCAACGCAACTCAACCTGTGATTCTGTGATATCCATGAGGCAGCTGTACAGATACGCACACGTGCCAGAAATTCAGCTGGGCTCTGTAGGGCAGAAGGAAGCGCAGCTCGCTCGTCCTCAGCAGATGCTTCCCTGAGAAAACTACTGTTTGTGGATTGCTAAGGGATTAGCAAAATGTGATAATCCCTGATACACAGGGAATGTTTTGCTTTTCTCTCAGTGGATTTTTCCTCCTGACTGGCCTAGGGTTGGACATCCTCACTTGCAATTGCAGCGAATATTTTGCAGTGCATAGGCTGTTCTCTCTGCAATGTTTTCAGTGAGGTACAAAGCAGCCTGTACTGCGCAGGCAGCATTTCTGTGAGGACTCTTACACAGGTGCAGTTTGCTTTCAGATCTCTTACCGCAGTTTATGACTTCTCATAATTTTAAAAATCTGTTACTTTCTGAAGTCTTATGAATGAAGATATACCGATGTAGAAAATTCTGCTCACTAGCGCTCTCACTAGAAACACACAAAAAAGTGCAAAGCATTTTTCCCAAAGGTAAAGGAAAATCCTGTCAGCTTTAATATTGGACTCAAGAGGAAAAGCATGGCTCCAGGAGGGGAAGGAAACCTGGATTTCATGATCTCAAGGGTATCTTTATTGTTCTGAAAAAGTTCCCAACAATCCATTATACCTACTTATTCTTGGCATTTATTTAAAAATACTCCACTGTTATTTTATACACAGTTGCTTAACTCTTGCTTAACTTTAGTTATGAGTCATGCTTGTGTTTCATTCATGAAAAATGAGATATTTGAATCTCCCCTTTCTTTTTTGCAAAGATATCCAAAAGACAAAGGTATGGCTGTGCCAGCACAGTGGAAAACTGCGGGGAGCACTGTGGTAATAGTAGAGTCATTGCTCTACATCATTATATATCAGCTTTGAAACTTCACTGAAATATTTACATTTGCAATGAAATGTTTTTCATTAAATGAACTCATAGCGTATCAATGTCTGTATGCGTAACTAGTACTAGTTTTAATGTTCTCAGGTGTCTGAAATGTAAGTCACTCTGTATTGTTGCTAGTAATGGTGAACTGCGCTTTTATTCTAACAAGTAAAATACGTCTTTTTGTATTCTTTGAAGGCTTCCTTGAACAAGGCTTGCTAGTTAAGGATGAAAAGAAATTACGAGATCATTATACCAAAACCGTGCAGTTCAAACTGGATGTGATGTCTCTTCTGCCGACAGACCTGGCATATTTGAAGTTTGGTTTGAACTACCCTGAACTGCGATTTAACCGCTTGCTGAGAATTGCTCGGCTTTTTGAGTTTTTTGACCGTACAGAAACCAGGACAAATTATCCAAACATGTTTCGTATTGGCAATCTTGTCTTATACATTCTTATCATCATCCACTGGAATGCGTGTATATACTTTGCGATTTCAAAGGTCATTGGATTCGGGACCGACTCTTGGGTCTACCCCAACGTGTCTGTTCCAGAGTATGCGCGCCTGTCTAGAAAGTACATTTACAGCCTGTACTGGTCTACGCTCACACTGACGACCATTGGAGAAACGCCTCCTCCGGTGAAAGACGAAGAGTATCTCTTTGTGGTCATTGACTTCCTGGTGGGTGTGCTCATCTTCGCTACCATCGTAGGTAACGTGGGCTCCATGATTTCCAACATGAACGCCTCCAGGGCAGAGTTCCAGGCCAAGGTGGATTCCATTAAGCAGTACATGCATTTCCGAAAAGTGACAAAGGATTTGGAAGCCAGGGTTATCAAGTGGTTTGATTACCTCTGGACCAACAAGAAAACAGTGGATGAGAAGGAAGTTCTCAAAAACCTGCCCGACAAGCTGAAGGCTGAAATTGCCATCAATGTTCATTTGGACACGCTGAAGAAAGTGCGGATATTCCAGGACTGTGAAGCTGGACTTCTTATTGAGCTCGTGCTAAAACTGAAACCTACGGTCTTCAGTCCTGGGGACTACATTTGCAAAAAGGGAGATATCGGGAGAGAAATGTACATTATTAAAGAGGGAAAATTGGCTGTGGTGGCGGATGATGGCATCACTCAATTTGTAGTCCTAAGTGATGGCAGCTACTTCGGTGAAATCAGCATCCTGAACATCAAAGGCAGCAAATCTGGCAACAGGAGGACAGCCAACATAAGGAGTATTGGTTATTCTGATTTGTTCTGCTTGTCTAAAGATGATTTAATGGAAGCCCTCACAGAATATCCAGAAGCCAAAAAGGCTCTGGAAGAGAAAGGGCGACAAATTCTGATGAAAGACAATTTAATAGATGAGGAAGCAGCAAAAGCAGGAGCTGACCCAAAAGACTTGGAAGAAAAAATAGGAAAACTTGAAACAGCTCTGGATACGCTGCAGACGAGGTTTGCTAGGCTCTTGGCAGAATACACCTCATCTCAACAGAAGGTGAAGCAGAGACTTGCCAGAGTAGAAACCCGAGTGAAAAAGTATGGCAGTGGCACCTTATCAGTTGGAGAAGCAGAGGCTGAAAAACCCGAGGAGGAGAAAAAGCAGTAATGGAGTATTTCCATTTCCTCATTTACTGGAGAAGGTTGAAGCTTGTGAAAGCCATACATGTATGTAAATATGTGTGTGCATACATAGACATGATTATTTTTATACCAGCTCAAGAGAATGGTTTATAGCATTTTTAACTGAAGCAGTATTTTCTTGTATATAGAACATTGTCACCACCTTCTTAGGGGGAGACTTTGGTCTGGCATTTGGGTACTTTTTTGTACTGGGAGTGGGTTTCTTAAACGTCATGCTGAGAACGTCTGTTACATGTGGTACATACATGTGGGTCTTGACACAGTGTCTCATCCCATGCTAAGAAGCCATTGTACTTAAAGTAGAAGAGATTGATTGGGTTTTTTTTTAAGGGCTTAACGTGTATTTATAGGATCCATGCTCTACCTTGCCACTTTAGTAGCCAATTAAATGCGTGGATGCACATCCAGGCTTCTCAAAAAATCTTTGCTCTTTTACAGTGAAGTGTCTCGGCAAAAAGTTGGCCTACAGCTATGCAGCAGCATGTACCTGGTCTGTGCAGGGTAGCTGTGCATGGGTGCATCCGGATGCTTTGGTCTGATTCTATCTGATGAGCCAGCTCTGCACAAAGGACGGTGCTGACAGAGTTGCAGTGCTCATTCATGGCCTTTCTGGCACGCTTTGTGGCAGCTTTTGCTGTTCTGCAACTGCTTCTCATGGGGAGAGAGTAGAAGATTTCCCCCACCTATTTTTTTAGCACAGCCCCATCCATGCTGGTAAAACCCTCACTTGGAAGGGCATCCCCAAAAGCCCGCTGGTGGATGGTATCTGTGGCAGTGTGGCTTCACTGAACTGGGGAAGAAAAAAAGAGGGTCGTGGTGTGTGCAGCTCCTAAATGTTGGGTCTTGAGTGAATTCCTCGTCAGCAAGGGGACAGTCCCAGAGGGAGGCTACCAAGAAACTGTCGAGCAGTCTGTGCCACCCCGCCTTTCCCTCCAGCAGGGTTTCTTCAAGGCTGGGAGAACAAGTCCTGCATTGCAAAGTCTTTCCTGCTCCTAAGTCCATGTTTTCTTCCTCTTCGTTTCATTTAAGATGCCTACCCCACCTCCTTTCACTGTGAAAGATTGCTGCCGAGTGGTTGTCTCTGCTGCCAGCCTGGCTCTGTGCCGGATACACAGCTCCGGTCCTCTCAGTCCGCGGCCACATTCAGGACAGATCGGTACTGAGAGGGTTTCTTGCTCTGTCACATGACAGCCTCAGGATTTGCCTCCTCCACCCTGCTGCTTCCTGTTGCTTTCCAGGCTTCCCTCCCTCCCACTGAGGGGATTTCTCTAATAATTATTCTCCCACTGAAAGATACCAGCTTTCTTTTTATTTTTTTGCTGTTCAGTATTTTTCTCTCATGTGGCTTTGTTACTTTTATCCTCCCATCCCTCACTGGCTTCAGAAGAGTGTGGAGCAGCATCTATCGCATGGAGGCTGGATCCTCTAGCAGCATTAGGTATGATCAGGGGCAGCCTTCTGCCTTTGAGTTGTCCTCAGCCCTGATTTAGGAACCCTCACAGCATGCAGGTAGAGTTGGCTGTTCAGAAACTGGTGAGGGTGGTTTAACTAGATGGTAGGAAAATGAAAAGAGGTGGGGTGGTTGCTTTGCTAAACTGAGTAGCACTGCTCAGAGTAAGCACTCACCTCTAGGCAGGCTGCTGTCCCCTTCCTGGTGACACTTTTGAGCCTGAGGAGAGAGACAAATACGACAATGACTACGGAACAGGGCTTTGCCAGCAACACTGGCAAAGAGACCACTAGGTAGTAGATGCCCACACATGGCCTATGTCTGAACTCCTGTTACCATCAGCCAAGAAGCCAACTAGAGTTAGGTATCTACTGTAGCCTGGGCTTAACTTCTATTATCAAGACTTCCACTAACTGTAACAAGGGCTTTGGAAAGTAGATGAGACCTATATATGGTCAGCAGAGTTCAGGAGTTTTGGCTCTTCAGCTGAATCTTATTTTTTCCAAAGGGCTGAGACAAATGGTGGAGGTAAGAGAGGCTGCTTTTGGCAGGGGTCCAGTGCCCCCACTTCTGCACTGGGGAAGGCAGGGGCGAGGTGGAGCTGGGTGTTGGAATATTGCTGCGTACCACTGTAAGCACAAATGGCACAGTCACAGGATGCTGAACTTGCAGCTCTCATAGAACTGTGGAATGGTTTGGGGTGGAAGGGACCTTAAAGATCATCCAGTTCCAGGTTAGATCATCTTCTTCGACCAGGTTGCTCAAAGCCCCATCCAACCTGGCCTTGAACACTTCCAGGGAAGGGGCATCCACAACTTCCCTGGGCAACCTGTGCCAGTGTCTCACTACTCGTGAGTAAAGAATTTCTTCCTAATATCTCATATAAATCTACCCTGCTCTGGCTTAAAACCATTGCTCCCCTTCCTATCACTACTTGCCCTTGTAAACAGTTACTTCCCTAGCTTTCTTGTAGGCCCCCCTCATTTTTACACGTTGGAAAGCCACAATAAGGTCCCCCTGGAGCCTTCTCTTCTCCAGACTGAACAGCCCCAACTCTCTCAGCCTGGCCTTGTAGGGAAGGTGCTCCAGCCCTGTGAGGGAAAGTGCTCCTGCCCTTTGATCATGTTTGTGGCCCTCCTCTGGACTCGCTGCAACAGCTCCATGTCCTTCTTATGTTCGGGGCCCCAGACCTGGACGCAGTACTCCAGATGGGGTCTCACCAGAGCAGAGCAGAGGGGCAGAATCACCTCCCTCACCCTGCTGACCACACTTCTTGTGATGCAGCCCAGGATGCAGTTGGCTTTCTGAGCTGCAGCTGCACATCACCAGCTCATATTGAGCACCTTGTGACAAAGGCAGGTACCGTGCTCGCCCATGGCTGGCGTTCACTGTTGTGTTATTTGAACACCGTATCTGGTAGGGGTTTCATACGTATCATGTTCTACATCAGTCATCATCCTCTGTAAATATCTGTCTACCCAATGTACTACAGCTGTTCCAGGCTACTAGGTGTATACAGATAGAACTGTTTAAAGTATTATTTATATCAAATTTATACCAGTTAAACTCACAAACACAGGAATGCTTCTTTGCCTGATGGATGAGAACAGCTTAATCTATCAGTTAAATACATTTGCTCTTCCCTGTCCCATGCCTCTTGGTCTGGTTTTCACATGCCAGAAAAAGAAATAGCATCAAAATTCTATTAGCTTCAGTCTCTTTCAAATATACCACTTTTGGGATCATGAAATCACATCCTTTGCCATCTTTCATCTCTGTAAGATGTTTTTTCCTCTTTAATGTGGCTACAGCATGTACATTAAAATATTTTCAGTAACATTCAAGTAGCTCTGTGTTTTCTCTTATTCATACCCCTCTGGATTGTAGCATTTCATGACAGACTTTGATAATGACAATATTACACGGCCCAGAAAATTGCGAGCTGGAGCAGAAATCTGAAGTGACAGAAAACCAAGTGGGAATGGCGGTGTTCTCCCCTCACCAGGAGACAGCTGGCACAGGGATTCAGTCCTGTGTCCTGATTTCACACTGTCACCGTGTTTGCAGATGCCACACAGGCACGAGAGCCTGACCACTCACCTTACCAGAAATCTACCCCCAAGGCATTAGGCAGTCCCTGGCATGGGCTTGGCTGGTCCTTCAACCCCAACCCCACCACAAGAGAAAGCAAGGAACAGGCCAGCTCTCACAGAGCATTTGAACATACACTCTGAATTTGCAAACGAGGGTTTAATGGCCACAGTGCTCACTTCACATGGGTACAGGAGCCAGCCCATGCAGAATTGGGTGGCCGTAGGGTGTACTGCTGCTCCAGGATGCCTGTGCTGAGCGAGACACCTGCTCGGTGAGGCCTGAGGTGTTTGGACATCTGCAAAAGGAAGGTAAGGCTGGTGGAGAGGTACAGCCACACTCTAGGTACTGCTTGGAGTGAGCTTGTCCAGGAAAAGGGCCTTCAGCCATGGGCCCTGCTCCCTAACAGCAAATTATTCAAGCCCTGCTGCTCTCCAAAGTACTCTCAGTAGCAGCAG